TCAAGTGACATTGGTGGGTCTCACTCACACAGCCTTTCCCAGGAGCCTCACTAGAGCAGTGCTGACTCCCTCTATGTTAATTAAGCCTTCAGTGATATCCCAAGTTTCCAGGGGCTACTGAAGGACAAACTTCTAATAGAAAATACTGCTTATTCTCTTTACAATCAATGAAAATGTTTGAAAGATAAGTAAGTGTATACCCATTTAAAGGTCTGACTTATCTCTCAGCAGATCATATCCCTTGTCCACATGAGCTACATTCACTCAATGATGTTTTAAAGCACTGAGTGTCTGTTCATACTAGTCTTACTGAAATTCCTGTTCTGTAAGGAAGAGGTAGAAGAACAAAGCTGAGAAGAGGACCAGAAACAGCAGTACACATGACCAAATGTGCATACATATGCATATACCCACAGTAGAGCCATTTCCCAGCCAGGACTATGAGATATATTTTCCTCTTTGGACTTCAGGTTCCCAATATGTAGAATAAGCTTACAAAGAATTCTATGGTATATGTGTTCAAGGAATAGGTAGGTAATGTAGCATAAGGTTAACTTAGCATAGTACTGGTTAGTGAGAAAACTTTGCCTGTGATGGGTGTGCCTCACATAGATCAGGGATCCAGAAGGAAGGACACTTAAGCTTGCCTGGTTGCACATGAGAAATAGTCTCTGGAGTTTAGTAGACAAAGAGTAAGCATAGGGAAGAGATTTTATTCACTTTTAAAAGGCGCTATTCACAAATAATGTTCTTAGTTTCATGTGAACAACAATAAACACATCTATGGCTCTCTTGGAGGAAAAGGGGTAATAAAGCATCTCAGCATCTCTGCTGAAAAGGACTTGAGACTTCCTGGATATGTGGAGTCTTGGTGACCTAGTTGGCAGGGATTTGTCTTGCTAACCTAAAAGTGGTAATTCTCTTGATATTCGACTATGAAAGAGAAAAATGAGCAGTCTCCTTTCATGCAATTTGCAGCCCCCTGAACACATTTGTTGATGTGTCAGCTATGAATGCATTCCAACTTAATGGCAGTGTGTTGTTGTTATGACAAGATGACATGGCACTTCCATATTTCCATTGTGTATCATACTCAAGCATTAGAATTTTATGGTCAATTTGAATTCATTTTCTGTCTGGGAGAGTTTTTTCCTCCTGATGGCAAGGGAAAGCCTGGGCTATTTGTGCTTTCAGGCCAGGGGTACAGAGGAGGCATCAAGGACTGACTGTCCCCACCAGAACCAGTAGCCTATGTCTGGAAAGAAATTCTGTGTCTTGTGATTTCCTGGGGCCTACTACACCTTTACCTTTACATCTATGAGCCTGGAATTTGGCAAGAAGGTAGATATGATGTGTTTGAGGTACATGCTAAAGAGGAATGAGGCAGGTTGTAATTTTTATGGAAGGACATTCATGTGAGGGTGCAGTTTCCAGAATCCTGGAATGCTGAAGACTACTTATGCACCTTGAGAGCTGATGTACCTTACAGAAAACTTTTGGAGTAATCTCCTCATTTAATCTGAGCCAATTTATCTCACTAGTTGGCAAGCTCTGCCATCTGAGCCCTTGTTTAGCATTCACTAATGGTATTGTGGTTAAAGAATTTAGCTGCTAACCAAAAGGCAGGCAGATGGAAACTACTATCTGCCTTATAGGAGAAAGCTACTACGCTCCTTAACCTATGGACAATTCTGCCTTGTCCTTCAGGACCTCTTTGAGTCAGAATTAACTCAAATACAGTTGGTTTCTTTAGATTTTACTTGTACCTTAGGACTGTCCTCACTGGAAGGGGTAATTGAAGGCCACCCAGTTACTCCAGCAGTTCTCAGTCTGCAGAGTCACAAAAATGTCAAAGAAAGAAAGAAAGAAAGAAAGAAAGAAAGAAAGAAAGAAAGAAAGAAAGAAAGAAAGAAAGAAAGAAAGAAAGAAAGAAAGAAAAACCAGGAAGAAGAGCTTAGTGTAAATCCCCCAATTAAAAGATTATCCCTGTGATAAGACATGAAAAGATTCAGGCTAGTATTAGGTCTGGCCCACACCTAACTATCCAGAAGGGTAAAAACCCAAACACTGGATATTCCTATATAGTTAGGGAACTGGAATTGTGTAGCTGCTCCTTAATTCCAAACACTAGTTGCCCTGCAACCCTGGACACATAGACACCATCTCCTAAAAATAATGGGCCAAGGAACAGTTCTTCAATTCCTTCTTGGCTTTGTGGACCATTATGCAGAATTTGCCAAGGGTCTATACCATAATTATAAAGATTTTGGCATCTTTACACCATTCAATATAGAACTATAGACTTGTTTTAACCTCTTTAACTCTGCTCAGACCTGTTTGTGGCATTAGGCAGTGATGTAGGGCCTCAAAGCCCAATACTCAAGTCAGTCTCTGACATGTGTAGCTGTGGGGTCATGTGAGAACTACCTAGACAGTCTTGCCTCAGTTTCTCCGTTTATAAAGAAAGCAGTAGTAGATGCTAAAGAACCTTGGTGACACAGTTGTTAAGTACTTAGATAAGGAGAAGCTTGGTGATTTGAATTTACCAATCACTCTACAGGAAAGAGAAATAAATAGTAGTCTGTTTTTGAAAGAAACCCTACAGTGATTGCTAAGGAAATAGAATCAACTCAATGGTAATGGCAACAAGTTGATTTTATTTATTTTTTTTTTAAGAGTAAGCCCAACTTTTATTTCCTATGTAAGGAATATTAATGTTTTCTTATAAGTATAGTATATAAAACAGTCAATTATCTGTTTGGAGAAGAAAGTAAATGAGTATGTGCAATACAGTTACTCAAGGTAACATTGTATGAGATTTACATTGTACAGTTCTAAGAGGGATCCATTTTGAAGGCTGCATTACTTGATCTTCTGCAGCAAGTGCTTCAAGTCCTCTCAGCAAGCAAGGTTGTGCCATCTGCACAATGCAGATTATTTTTTTTCTATAGTTATATTTTATTAATTTTCATAAACATTTACAGAGATTTTGGGCTTCCACTCATTCGTTGTTGCACTATTCTCTCTACCCTCCTCCCAGTTTGTTCTTGTCCAAATGCCACAGTGCTTGTCAAAGCCAGTTCTGATTAATCTTCTTTGTCAGTGTATCCTTTGCCATTCCCTATCACTCCTCCCTGAGAGAGACTTCACCCTGAGTCATAAGGAAAAGGGGACGGCGTATTCTCTTAGCTACTTCCTGCTGAAAAGGGACGCTGTGGGTTTCAGGGTGAAGATCTTCTCTCACTACTCTAAAGGGCCCCTTTGGCAGTAGGAAACACATAGACTATTATGGAGATTGATTTTGGAATTCAGATGCACTCTTATTGATTGTGCTTGGCTGTACATGTACATATCCTTGAAGATGTATCATGGGGGTATTGCAACCTAGAAGACACAAATTTGACTAACAAGTTATAAGTACATGAGTCCAAAAATTATGGAAAAGTAAAAGAAAAGATTCTTTCATTGTTTTACAAACCCTCCCCCAGGTCCCCTCCACCATGCAGCCCTCGCTCTAGTCTCCTGTGATGACAGAAATACCCAGTTACATCTCTCTTTTAAACGGTTCTCTCCCTCCTCTGTTTCAGTGCAGTATACATTATTGAACCCATCTTACTCAGTCTCTCCCCAACCCCAAGGACAGTCCCATTCTACAACAGTGGCATCATGTAATATTTGTCCTTTTGTGACTGGGATATTTCACTCAGCATAATGTTCTCCAGAGTCAACCATTTTGAATAATATTGCATGAGTTCCTTGTTTTTTAATGCAGCATAGTATTCCATTGTGCGAATATACCACAGCTTCTCTAGCCATTCGTTTGTTGATGGGCACTTAGGTTGTTTCCAACTCCTTGCTATTGTGAACAAAGCTGCAATAAACATGGGTGTGCATATATCTGCTTGGATGTCAGCTATGGTCTCTTCAGGGTATATTCCCAGTAGTGGAATTGCTGGGTCAAATGGTATCTCTATTTGCAACTTTTTGAGAAAGCGCCATACTGCTTTCCACAGGGGTCGCACCATTTTACACTCCCACCAACAGTGAATCAGGGTTCCAGTTTCTCCACAACCTCGCCAGCATTTGTTGCTTGCTGTTCTGTTGAATTTTGCTATTTTGACTGGGGTGAAATGATATCTCATAGTTGTTTTAATTTGCATCTCTCTTAGGGCTAGGGATTTTGAGCATTTCTTCATGTGTTTGTTAGCCATCTGAATGTCGTCTTCGGTGAAGTGCCTGTTCATATCCTGTGCCCATTTTTCTATTGGATTATTTACCTTTATCTTGTTGTGGTGCTCAAGTATTGCATAATTTCTGGATATAAGTCCCTTATCTGATATGTTATTACCGAATACTTTTTCCCAGTCAGTGGCTTCCCTTTTTACCCTACTGGAGAAGTTTTTGGATGTGCATAGGGATTTGAGTCTTAGAATATGTTATAGTGTTGCAGTGAAGAAGAAATGAGTTAAATTCTTAGCTTAGTGTTCAGATGTTTGAAATGTTCAGGAGGTGCCCACTGTTTCCTCAGGCAGGCCTCAGAGCAGAGGCACCTGGTAGTGTACAGTAGGAGCTCAGCACTCAGACCCTCAAGTTCTCTGGGTTCTGCAAGAGTGGAACCCTTGGCATCTGTGAAGGTGTAGGCAGGAGCTGGTGAGGGTGTGGATTGGGTACGAGAATAAGGAGAAAGTGATAATTTCCTAAAATAGATTACACCAACCCTTATCTGAGGGAAAGAAAGGAAAGATCAAGATTATCTTCATGAAGAGGCTTGCCTCAACACTAAGAGGTATACCTCTGGTCTTTTATGTGTGGTATAGTAAATGCCCACATCAGGGGCCTGGCTTCATCCTGTGGGGTCATGGGCTAGGAGAAATAGTCTATAAAATGTTGTCAACAGTCTAGGACTTGGGAAAACTGAAAGTTAGGGTTGTAGATAAGGGAAACCTGTCACTCACACATCTCCAGGGTGAGGTCAGATCCCTCCCTGCAAACCAGACTGGCCCACTGGATCTAAAACACAAGCTTCTTAGGAACTTCCCACGGGAACTCATTTCTTCCAAAGTGGCCATAACATGCTGTCTTCTGGTAGATAGGCTTTTTCAAGTCCAAATCCCTATGTAGTTAGCAGAAGAAACAGTTATTTTAGAATAGGGGAGAAATCATTCCAACTTCTCTCAATTCCAAGTGCTGGGTTACTCCCAGAAAGGAAAAGCAGAACCATGTGGAGCCTCACCACTTACAGAACAATCTGCTTACCCACCCCAGGCATTCCTGAATCCACTTATAATGAGAAGACCAAGGCACAGAGGTTCACATGAGGCAGCAGGAGCCAGCATTTGAACCCAGGTCTCTGTATCTTTCTTGCCTCACTGCACTGGCTCAGGTCCAGACCAACAGTGACTCTACCATGCTATAGAGCATGGGTGGCATGAGAATGATAATTTCTGGGAATACCCTTACTTTCTAATAGGATAGTTATATAGAACTTATAATACACCTTCCACCCCTGCCTCCACTTCACATCTGCTCAGAGATGATCCAGAGCCAATGCCTGCTGGGCCTTCAGAAAGCTACTACATGGCCTACTCCAACCTGAGTTTAGAGAATGAATACTTTCTGCTGGTTCAACGACTTGGAAGCTGTTCCTGTTCTGAGAGGCTAACTCCTCTTTCTGTCTCTGGAAGGGTGGGGAACATGGTCTTAAGATATCACTGTAGATGCCATGCCTACTCTAGGCAATAGAGCAATAAAGCAATAGTGGATGCTTTACCTGACAATGACACCAGGTCGCAGGTCAAAGTTCTTGTTCACCACATCCAGTAGCTCTCTCTCTGTCTTCTGAGAGGTCCCATAGGTGAAAATGGAGATGGACAGTGGCTCTGCCACACCGATGGCATAGGAAACCTTTCAAAAAGACAGATCAGGGGACAAGAGCCTCTATCCTCTACAGATCCTAATCAGGCTAATATTTATTAGATTAGAACTGCTGCAAGCCCTCAGGCACTCTCCCCACCTGCACAGACACTCTCCCTAGCTGTACACTCTGTCTACCAGTACAGATAGTCTTCCTACCTTTAAACTCTCTCTACCTGCATAGGCACTATCCCCACCTGAACAGTCCACATCAGAACACTCTTCCTACCTGCACAAGCACTCTTCGACACAGGCCAGCTTTAACGAGGGACTTAGCCACCCAGCGAGCAGCATATGCAGCAGAGCGGTCCACCTTGGTGTAGTCTTTCCCAGAGAAAGCGCCACCACCATGAGCACCCCAGCCTCCATAAGTGTCCACAATAATCTTACGACCCGTGACTCCTGCATCACCCTGTGAAGGGAAGGAGGTGGCTCGATACCAGAGAATAATGCTTACAGGTGTTTCCAACTCTTTGTCTGGCAATCAACCCACTACCAACCCTGGACTCAATATAGTGGTGCCAAGGGATGATAGGCCAGATGTTTTCTGGAGTCCTAGTGAGCTCCAAACAGCTTTATTTTTATGTATCAGTCATAGTGAAAAATCCAATTGCAGGAAATGGTTGCATTGCAACAAACAGCCCGAGTAAGATGTGCCAGCAGATTGGTGATATCACTGTAGATGCCATACGTCTGCTCTGGGCAATAGAACAATAGAAATTATTTCAAAGAGCTGGAGCTTTAGGTTAAGTGGTCTGAGAAAATGTGCAATCCTACTGTGCACCATGAATCCTTAAGATAGGTCTCAAAACCATCCTTCCCCCTGCATTTCTATACTAGATTTGCTCATAGACTCTATTATGGTGCTCTGGCTTTGCCAGCAGCACACTCACAGCAGAGGTCCTACAGGAGCAACAGCCTCTCAATGCACTCACTCCCTTAACTCTGGCTGGTGTAGGAGGAAGGGCGCAGTAGGTGTCCCTGTCTCAAAGAAGCTCATGAGTATACACAGCAATGGTAAACCTTGGAAGGAGTGCATATCTAGTGTGAGCAGATGTCTCAGTCATCTGGGCTTATAGAACAGAAGACCCAGGAGCAAAGTCTAAAGGACATACTGGAAATATAACCCTGTTCCTTGTCCACTGGTTAAATATATGACTGAGTGCCCTTCAGGCCCATAGGCAGTCCATGCTGCCCCATATGGAGCATCTGCAGTGGCCTGTGACTCAGAACCAGAGATAGGGCATACCTGGGGGCCCCCAATGACAAACCGCCCACTGGGCTGCAGGTGGTAGATGGTGTCTTCATCCAAGTACTTGGCCGGTACCACTGCCTGTATCACCTGCTTCTTCAATGCTGCACGCATATCCTCCAGGGTGATATCCTCATTGTGCTGCACAGAGATAACGATGGTGTGGATGCGCACAGGAATGACTGCACCATGGTCCTGTGTGTACTGGACTGTCACCTGTAGGTCAAATGTGAAAAAATATTCAAAGGTTCTGCCCTACATGGAGGCAATAAATGCAGACATGAAAGGCAGCAGGGTGTGTATGATGGAGTAAAAGACACGAGCTATCCTTACAGCTTTCAATTCTATAAAACCTTGTCTTCTGTACTGGAGCGTTTCTTCTCAATTAGTAACAACTGTCTCAGAGGTTCCTATGAGGCTCCAAAGGCACCCTGATGAAAACGTTCTTTGGAACTCTGTGGATGAGGATCGATGTATCCTTGGCCCAATCAAGAAGAAGAAGGGTAAGCAAATTTTACAATAATCTGTGCCCATTCTCCACAGCAGAAAGTTCTATACACATATGGGACCAATAGACCTACTTGTTGAAGTGACAGAATGAGAAAGATCTGGGCAAGGGTGGTTGAGAGAGAGGGGGAGAGAGAGAGAGATATCACCAACGGCCACCTCTAATGGCCAGTCAGAATGAGCAGATGTCCCTGGAAGAAAGGATGCTACCAAGATTCCCTTCAGGCCAAGCCGCCTGGGACATTTCTGCCACCAGGGTCAGTTCCACGCCTATGCCATGCATCACCAAGCAGTACCTAAGCCATAATATTAAGAAAGTAGTGTGTGCTTTACAAAAGAGAAAAAAGTGTGTGGGATGTGAATGCATGAGACTGAGGCCCCAAAGACAGTCATGTAAGGCCAAAGAGAGCTGTGTCCTCCCCATAACAACAAGAAAAGTATCTCTCCTAGACCTGAGCTTCATTGCCTATCTGTGAACAGGTTGTTGTTGTTGTTATGTGCCGTCGAGTTGCCTGCGACTCATAGCGACCCTATGTACAACAGCCCTAAACTCTGCTCTGTCCTGTGCCAATCGCACTGTCTCTGACACTTCCATCCCAATTATC